TCTTTATCTTGAACTACAATGTTTATTAGGAATTCACCAGCTGGACCCACGGCTGCTTCTATTACTTTATTACCTTCTGCTCAATCCAATATATCTCATATGTAAAAGAGCCATGCTCTTTTTGCCTTGTTGAGTTCAACTTAAAGGAATTTTTGATTGATAATTATATACTCCCCTTTCCTTGATAAAATGTAAGCATTTCAAGGAAAAACACATCTTTAACTTCTTTTAATTCTAAAAGTTCAGTGTCATAGATACAGAAAAGCTTCAATATGCACTTGGAAAATTGAACAAGCATTCTGTATGTGTGTATCATAAGTTGATAAAGCACTGTGAGAAAGGAGCACTTTCAGATTTCATGGATACTAGAGTTAAAAGAGTAACATGCACAAAGGAAGAAAATTTTAAAAATAAAATGAATGAAAGGGGCAAATCTTGGCCTAAATATGTGTAGATGTTTAGCATAGAATAAGCAATAAATTGACATTAAACACTAAGAGATAATTAAGGTAATTAATAGGAGACAAAAAGTTCAACTTTTGACCAACTGATTTGAGCTTAGTCACAAATCAGTATTATGGAAACATAATTGAGGGCAAAAATCCTATACCTGCAAAGTATCATTTTCAGTAAATATCTCTATTCTTCTTTCACCTACTCTTGTGTAAAATTTCTACTTTTATTAAAAAAAAACCACTCTCTTGCCACATGAAATTGGGCTATAGCCTATACTTAGAAGTATGTTCAGTTAATGAGAGATATTTTCAATTGATGCATAGCTAGTGTTACCAAGGGCAGAATAAGGAGAAATCTGTTTCTATGGAAATAATGGGAATTATGATTCCTCAGTAGAATTAAATAGGTAGTAATAAATGAAAATGATCACAAAACAGTTTTGTGATAAGTGAACAGATAATAATTTGAAAAAGAAAAGCAGCCAAATAATTTTTATGTTGGTCTGACCTGGGGAGGGGATATTGTGGTGAATAATAAAATGATTTCTTTACATAGAGCTGTGAGCCTGTTATATTGAAATGATATTTTGTTCTCCTGCATGAGAAAGTTAAGGCTTCCATGCAGTTTCATAATTTTGGGGGAATATACGACACCTAAAGCAAGGAAATGAAAATAAAACAAAATGCCAAGGAACTGGGGAAAAATAAAGCAATAACAAAAGCAATTTTGTTCTAAGTTTAGAGAAGATGATTTTTTAAGAATGTTCCCTGAAAATTCTCAGCTATATGTATCACGTGATGTTTCCATTGTGACTAAGCAAGACTATAGCAAGATCTGATTTTTCAAATGAACACTCTCAAAGTTCTTTTGATCTGCTGCATAAAAACACTGTTACATTATGATGAGAAGGAAAGCAGAATTATTTTTCAGTATACAGTATTTTGTGACATGTAAAAGAATGTGGTAATAACTAGTCTTCAGGACTATTCTCCTGAAGTTAGGAATAGGGAGAAAAACGTATCCGGCACCTGGAGTGATTTTCATGGGGGAAAAAAAAAAAGTTGCATTTGGCTATTAACAAGTCTTTATATCAAGAAGTTCCCCACTGGCAATGATGTAGGGTGTTTTGCTTCCCAATTCTAGGTTGATTTCTAGCAGTTTGGCATATATAAAATTACAATTTTCCCTACCCTCCCCAAAGGTTTCTGTTTCTTCTCCCTGTGAAAATGCTGCTCCTCCTGTACTCTAGGAGTAGTTTCTGCCAATTGGATGCAGAAACTGAATATAAAAATGACTAGAAAGAGATTGGGGGGCGCCTCCCTGGTGGTGCAAGGGGTTAAGCATCAGCACAGTGAAGCAGTCCGCAGTGACTGCAGCACAAGTTCGATCCCCAACCAGGGAGCTGACCCACATGGCGCAGCAGACCTCTCCTGTCTCTCCCGCTGTTCTCCTCAGCAGTGTATTTCAGTCAGTCTGCCTGTTCTGTTCCCCACTCTGTCTCTGGTGAACTGCCCCCCACACCTCTGGCCTACTCTCCAGTTCTTGAATGCATGAAGAAATAAATCTTTTTAAAAAGAGAGAGAGAGATTTGCGGTTGAACAAGACATGTGAAAGATGTTGACAAGTGAAGTTTGGATAAGCAAAGGCTCGCAAAAATTGCCAGATACTAAAACTAACAAAAGTTAACAGGTCTATTTTCTATCCCTCACTGCACCTATTTTCTGGTACACCAAATAATAATTTCATTAATGTACCTAGCAAATTCCTCTCTCAGAATTCAGCATAAGCTCTTTCTCAGTGAAATTTTCATGACGTATTGAGACACACTGCAGTATTTTCTCTTCATGTCCATTTTGTAGCTTTTACTCTTGTGTGTTAAAAGAACTTAGGTTCCTGCTTGTCTTCTCCTCTGGAGTATGAGCTCTTTAAAGACAGAGGTGCTGGGCCTCCCCGTTGGTGCAGCGGTTGAGCGCTGGGCTGCGAAGCTGCCTGTAGCCTCTGCAGCGCCAGTTCAATCCCGGGCCGCCAGCGAGGGTCCCACATGGCACGCAGACCTCTCCTGCTGCGCCTGCTGCTCCCCTCAGCAGTGTATTTCCTCAGTCTGCCTGTTCTGTTCCCCGCTTTGGCGCTGGTGAATTCTCTCACCCTCCCATGCTTCTGACTGTACCCACTGCTTGTATAAATAAATAAATAAATAAAAATCTTTAAAAAAAAAATCTTAAAAAAAAATAAAGACAGAGGTGCTACCCTCTACTCATACATACCTGATGCCTAGTAAACTATCCTGGGCTTATATAACATTATAGAGAAGAGAGGAGTATGAAAATTATGAAGGTACATGACTCAAAATCTACTAGGTAAGTGGACATTTAAAAGAATGAGGTAGAAGATGTCAGAAGATGTCTTCAACAGAAATCATTCTTAGAAAGTGAACAAAAGAATTTAAATTTAGAGTTTAGGAGCTCTGGCCTGTAGAGAGTTTTTTTTTTTTAAAGATTTATTTATTTATTTATACAAGCACTGGGTACAGTCAGAAGCGCGGGAGGGTGAGAGAATTCACCAGAGCCAGAGTGGGGAACAGAACAGAGAGAAGGACCGAAGTACACTGCTGAGGGGAGCAGCGGGCGGCAGGAGAGGTCTGCGTGCCATGTGGGACCCTTCTCCAGTGGCCGGGGAGCAGCCGGGGATCGAACCGGCGCTGCAGAGGCTGCGGGCAGCTTTCAACCCAGCGCTCAACCGCTGCGCCACCGGGGAGGCCCTATAGAGAGTTTTGATTAAAGGATCCAAGGTAACATAAGAGTTTAGAAAAGCAGGCTTTACTAATTCTTCTTATTTAAAAATACTTTGATATTGAAAACAGTAGCTATTTTATTTTACTTAAATTTGGCGTATATACTTTTTATTTAATCTATTCCTGATTCTAGGAATCAGTGATCACAGGATGTCATTTTATCAATGAATAGAATTCACTAATTCCCACAATGTGGAGAGCAAAAAGTTGATGAAAATTATCACTAGGTAGAAAATTATCATAGGTCTCAAATGAGATAAGTACTCTACTTAGATAAACAGGAAAAATAAAAGACTGTACCCTGAGTCAATTTCACATCAAATTGCATATTCCTAGATAGGTTGACATTTTCGGTGATATCCCTATGATAGTGAGACATAAAACTGGGATGTTGAAATTCAGGCAAAATGGTGAAACAAATCCTTCAGTTGTCATCTGGTATCTTGCAGAATAAGCAAATGATTATATTTTGTTTTTATTTCAATAGCTGCTGTGAGCTTAGCCACAATGAACATACAATGAGTAATAATATATTTATTATTTCATATATAGAGTTATATGTATATATGTATAGGTATACCTATACACACACACACACACACACACACACACATACATAAGTATTTTTCACTGCTTGAGTCTCAATTTATTAATCTAAGTCAAATGGAAGATAATAAAGCACTGAACAATATTTATGAAGTCAAAAATATATTCATGTGTTTGAATAAAAACATCGATTTTTCTTGGAAAGTATTATGCTCTTGTGTATATTATATCAAATCCAAATCTTATTTTCCAATATATAAATTGAGTACTTTGTCTAGAAAAAATATATAAGAAATCTATATTTTTAAAGTATAGCCTCTGGTAGATAGGAAATTCTATATAAGTAGGATGATATTTCATTATTTATTGATCAGTGTCTACCCAAAATGAGAGTACTTTTTTTTTTTTAAATGGATGGTACTGGTAAATATAGCTTTCATGATACTCTAATGCCATTAATTTTTAAGATCAGTTTACAGTATGAGAAAGAAAATCATTTCATTATTATACTATATTCACTTTTCAATACGATGCAGTTAGCATTGGTACACTATTAGTGTTATCATCTGAGAACCCATTAGGATCAAAAGGCACATTTAGCAAATGTAAAATTAATTTTAGCTTGTAACCTTTATAAAAATAATATAAATTAGTAGATATAAAAGCCTAATGAAAACAATATCTATATGTGAAATTGAAATATGATGGTCTCATAGAGATTTAACTCAAATGGCAACAGGTAGACCCCAAACTAAATGATCAATACTCGTCCTAAAAAACAATGTGTTAATTGTCAAATGAAACTGTAGGGATCTCATAAAGATATGCAAACCAAAGATAGAATAGCTGCAGTGCGCCTGGAAGTGGCTAAGCTCCCAAGCAAATCATCCCTATTAGTTCCCATTCATGATTTAAATTGTGCTTTTTTATCTGTTCATAACATGCAGCATTTTCTTACCCTCACATTTCTAGGCATTTTAGCTTATGCTGACATAAATGCATTCCCCAAATAGAATGTTACAGCAATCTTTGCTAGACGTTTAAGCCCATTCGTGCGTTTATTTTTTAAGATGCTTTTTTTGAACCTTCTAACTGTGAGAGGTCTGGGAAGGTAGTGTTAGAATGAATGAGAACTTGTTTTCTAAAGCGACAGTGTAGACACTTGATCTACCGTTAAAAAAAAAAAAAAAAATTCACAGCCTCCTACCTTGAAAACAAACATCTCACGGCGAAGAATAGCTAGAGTGTTAAAATTCCCATCACAGATGTTGGGTTTGGCTCCAGGATAGGAAGGTCTGCCAGTCGGTGGCCGGGGAGGTTTGGGCCTGTCGTTCTTCCTTGGGTCAGCCGGAGGAATGGAGCGGTGTGGGGGCACTGTCGGTAAAGGTCTCGTGGGTGGAGGAATCTTGTCAGGTGGACCTTTTGAAAATATGAGGACAGCACTTGGCTCACTTAAAATTGGACTAGTGCTGAGAAATATGCTACAGCAGACAACCACACAGCAGTAGAGGGCACAGATGAAGGGAACTAAAAGTTCTTTAGGATCATATATTTTTTGAAAAAAACAAACCATTTTACCTAACAAACCATTGCCAAGTCTATCAGAAACTGTCCTTATCCTGCTAAACTCTGGGTTCAAGTAACTAGGTTTTCTTTGTTAATTTTTAATGATATTTTTTATAAGTTTGACACAGCCCTTAGTGGAAAAGCTGTTTTCAAATCTTTTATGGAAGTAGGTGTATATAAATAATAATGAAAATGAGTATTAGAATTGTGCATGTAAACTCTAAAGTTAATCCTAGATTTTGACAGACAATGACTCTATGCAAATATTTCTAAAAGATAAACATAAACAAAATCTTAGTTTATTCTACCCTATGTCTGCAGCTATATTTTATAGGCTTTGCCTGACATTCACTATTTTCTTTTAATGAAAGGTTTTGACAAATTGCTAGTAGAGGGTTTCATTTGAATACTGAATCTAAAACACCTATTGATTAAAACACCACTAGTAAAATATTAATGTTAAAAAGTATTTCTAAATAGAGGTTTCTAAATCAAGCCAAAGTTTACACATGTAATTTGGTACAGATGTAAAGCATCATTTCTCAAGGGATTTATGTTTTAAAAAAAATGGGGACTGTTTGAGTTTACTATTTAGATAAGGAAAGAATATTCTTTTGCAGACCTTGAGTCCAGACTACCAATTCATGAGGTCGTGAGAAAGAGCTTTCTTTCAGTTAGCTACTGAGGAGGAATTTGTGATGACACACAGCTAGACATATGATAGCTCATTCAACCTATGAACTATTTAGTTTTCAGTCTGAGACATTTCTCTTTTCTCAGTGTCCCCAAAATAAAGAGCAGCATGACAGTTGACCTTTTTTGTCCCCCAAATCTATTTTAACCATGAAAGAATGCTTACCACAGAGATATTAAAATTGAAAAACTAATGAATACAAAACAAATTAGTGAACTTAAACTATGTTACTTAAAAATGGAAATGACATCTTCTGGATATGAGATATTAACATACAAATAGCACACGTTTGTTTTCATACTGTAAAATGAAAGCTTCATTTCATTAATTTAGTAAAGCATATTCTCTATATGTACATTATAAATGTCAAGTTCTTAATAATTATGTGTGAAATAAATGTCTCATAAAGGTCAATGGTTCTTTTGAAGGATTTAGGAATAAAGCAAACATATATATCAATATTCTCTCTCCCTTTTGTCTTAATTTTGCTTCTACTGAATACCATAAGTATAAAAGATTTTACTGAACTAGAAATTTATTTTAAATTAATGCTAGTAAACTTAGTAATTTGTTAACTCCCACTCCTGTATTTATTAACTTTCACTTTCAGTCAGTAATTATATGCTTTTGAGTTTATTTTTTTATATTCATAACATAGATTATTTTCTCCAACTTTGAAAGTGATTTGTCTAGAAACTATCTAACATGAAATATCATATAGAGTCAATCAGTCAGTTTGTTCCAAAGTCTCAATATCTTATATATAAAAGGTTTACATTTCCCACTATTTTTGTTGATTATAATTTATTACATATTGTATATGAATTTTAAATACTAAAGTTTATCAGATCTTCATTCTAAATAAACTTAATAAGAACACTTTATCAGTATATAGATTTTCCCATATTCTATATATTGAGATATCTGGGGTTGTTGCCAAGAAAACTTACTTGATAGAAGACTAACAGGCCAGATCCCCCCCCTGCAATATTTATTTCTCTTATATAGTTAGAATATTTCTAAAAGAAGAAAACACAGCAGAGATTCTGGACTTTATTATAGGGTTAACTAAACACAGACAGTGGTGACATACCATATATCTTCTGGATGCCCTGCAAATCATCATTAGGTAGTTTGAAGTTGTCAGTTTCCATGTACTGGTAAAATGGAGCCATGATGGCTGTAGGGTCGTTGGAATGCTCCAATCCCAGAGCATGTCCCAGCTCATGAACTGCTACGAGAAATAAATCATTTCCTGTGCAAATAAGAGGAAAGTATGTTATCATAATTAGTATTCAAGTACAGAATTAAAAAGGAAAATTTGGTGTTACATTTACCCAAGAAAAAGAGGATGCATTTTTATTTCAACTATCAGTATGAATTTTTTCACTAGATTTCCTACTGACAAAATCCAACATATTGTTTTAAAAGTGGGCAGTTAGTGGGGAGGTAGTGGTTATCAGGTTATAGATTTTAGTAACTGAAAGGAATGAACAAAGAATTAAAGCTGAAGTACAGTAGCTATACCAGAAATTGCTACTGCTGTTGAAATAGCCTTCTAATTATAAAGCATATGATATATAAAATCTCACTTTTATAACTTTTTATTGAACTTAATTCTCAAAATAACTTAGTAGCGCAAATACAATTCCTACTTTTATACAAATAAGTAAATTAAGGCATAAGACTAGGTGGCTAGTCTTTCCAAGAATAGCAATCTTTGTATTTACAAAACTGTGGCTAGAACTGAGGTTATTATAACTTCAAGACTAAGGCTTTTCTTGCTTACTAGCCTAGAAGATAAGAATACAGAAATTTAAGACTAAAGTTGTAGTCCAGCAGTTACACTGACTAGGATTCTAATCCTAGCCCTTACAATATGTGCTAACCAGTTCATAGGAAATTTGAACAAAATGTTTTTATCTTAGAGCTGCTGTTTCTCACTTAAAAAAACAACAAATCTCTCTCCTGTGGTAAACTTGCACAGTGAAGTTGATTTAGGGCAATAAAGACACTTGGTTTGCTTTTTGCAATCAAGCCCCTGCTGAGGTCATCCATTCCTGGATCATCTTAACTAAACTCATGAGGAAAAGAGCCAATCCCACATATATATTTATTGATTCTAAAAAAATCAGTTGAATCATGTGAACATCAAATAGTTAAGTCTGTTATGCTTATGTGAAAAGTTTAACATGATTTGACATAAAGTATAAAGTTTTACATGATGCCTTTTTACAAATGTAAATGATTTTGATGAACTTCCTGAGTATTATTTTTAGGAAAACTCCTTTTCAGTCATTTTTATTATAATTCCCTGCAGAGGGCTATTTCTTTCAGGCAAATGCCAGGTACATAATCAACACTTTTCTTACTCTGGAGTGGTCTGTCAAAGAGTAATGGCTGAGACCAGGGGGCTGTCCCTGTATGACATTAACATACTGAAGGAAACATTCAAGACTTCACAGAGGCCAACCTGATACTTAGGAACAACTGGTTAAATAACAATGTGAAACAAATTAGAGGGGTTTAAAAAGAAAAAGAAGTTAACATTTCCAATCTCAAAGAACTTCTCTTCTCCTCTTTCATAATTACTTTAAAGTGAAAAGCAAAACATGAAAATTAATATAGCATGTATTAGATTTAATAACAAAAATTACTTTTAAAAGTTTACTAATTCTTCTCTGGGCATCTAATTCTCACAACTCTGTGAGTAAGTCACTATTATTATGTTCATTTAAAAAATGAGAAATAAAACTTGGAAACTTTAAGTACAGTTTGTAAGGTCACATAATAAGAAAGAACTGGAATTCAAATTTCTTTCAGCCTGATTCCAGAGATCATTCTTAATTAGTATAGTAAATCATACAACTGTACGAGTATTAGTGTGCACAGATTATATAATTTAGCCATGTCAAAACAATTCCATTCATTAAATTATCCATTCATCCCATTACCTTTTATTGCATGCCTATGATGTGTCAGGCACTCTAATATAGCACTCTAATATAGCAATGATCAGAGCATACAAAAATTTCCTGCCCTCATCATTTATATTGTAATGGGGAATACTAGTAATAAACAAGATACAGAATTTATATATATATGATGTTACATAGTGGAAAGTGACAGGGAGAGATAAAAGAGAAAGGATGAGGTCAATGAAAAAAGGAATCCAGACTATGTAATGAATTTTAGATAATAGTAATGATGTCTGGCTTTTACTCTGACTATGGTGGGGAACCACTGGAAGTTTTTGAGTAGACTTACAGTTCAACATGATCACTCTGATAATTGCTCTGGAGAATCAAGTGCAGTGGGTAAGGAAAGCAGCAAGATTCAGTCTCTGAAGTTAGAGCACCAAAATAATTTATTGCATGCTTAGGATGTGTTAGGCACTGATACAGGCTATGAAGATACAGTAATGAACAAAACATACAAAAAAATTCCCACCTCAAAACATTCATATCCCAGTAGGGGAGATATTAAAAAAAAAAAGAAAGAGAGAAAAGTATAGTATACAGGATGTTACGTAGTGATAAATGTTGGTGATATGGACCAAAATGAGAGTAACAGGGTTATAGAAAAGCAGTACAATCCTCAACAGATGTTGAACTAAAAATTACAAAGTTTTTTAAAGGATACAAGATGTGAAAAAAGAAAAAAATTTCAAAGATAGCACATCACTTTCTGGCCCCAACAACTGAAAGAATCAGATTGCTATACACCAATAATAGTGACTTACAGAGTTGTTGTGAGAATTAGATGTCCAGAGAAGAATTAGTATATTTTTAAAAGAAATTTTTGTTATTAAATCTAATATATGCTATATTAATTTTCATGTCTTGCTTTTCACTTGGAGAAAACCATAGGAGGAACTACGTTTTGTTGCTTTAGTGGAGTATGAGGGATAATAGGCGGGTTGCATTACCAGGAGTTCATTTTTCTGATAATAGATGCATTTTAAATATTTAATTGGAGATTCAAGCCCACTTGGAAATATGCATATAGAATTCAGAGGCAGTTGCTGACTTAAAGTATACATTTGGGACAGGTGAGCATTGATAGGAAAAAGCTGGCCTTGGTTAAGAGAATGAATAGTTCGACAACAGTTATAGCAATAAGTGAAGAGTAGATAAGTTCTGGCAGGTGGTACAAGTACTGGTAGAACCAAGAAAGATCTTTTCTGAATATTTTGATCTGCTTAGAGAAATAGTAAGCTTCTGCAACTGAGAAAATAAAAGAGAAAAAAGGAGAATATATGAAATATTTGTACAGAGTGTAAATGGATAATGGGAATACAGAACAATTGTCAGGAGTCACGATCATGAGTTTAAAGTGAGATCAGTCTCATTATGTGGTGTGATTTCTTCATTCTTGCTGAGCTGTATGTGTGCAGATACCTAGGTGGTTGTGTTGATTTTGCCAGAATTTTGGTATTCAGATGCATGGAATCAGAGAGATAAACAAAGATGCTATAGGTATATGTAAGACAGTGATTTTTGACTCTGGCATTTATGTCATATAAGGAAGGAAGGAAGAAATAATATGGGATGAAAAAGGACTATAGCAAGATAAAGTGGTAGACCAATTTAAGATCATTTTAATTCTGACAGGTCAAATGATAAATGGAGTCATGATGTCAGTGGCAGAAAGCTGGAAAAACACAAAATTCTAGTAGTAGAAGGTATGTGGAGTTGCGATTTGTAAAAGCAATGCCAAAGTTATAGTCATGAGAGTGAATCTCAGAGTTAGAATGAAATATGAATCACTGGAGAGGAGATCCAATAACTGAGATGGCAGACATTGGACAAACAACATGAATTTTGAAATAAACAAGGGCAGTGTTGAAGGTAGTAGCATTGAACCAGCAGTTAAAATGATCATGAAATAAGGAGAATAACATGAGGGTTAGCAGAAGAGTATAGAGCATGAAGAGATCATGGATGGAGTAGTCTGACAAAAATCATAGCCAACAGGTGAAGTCTACATAAAGGAGGATAGGAGAATGATTTTGAATTGGCATTAAAGAGAAGTAAAGTAAGGCCAGGCACCATTTATCTGGCCCTGTGGTAGAAGGAATTTGGAGAAGAAAAAACAGTCATCATTTTGGAGAAATGTGAGAGTAAGAGTATAAACAATGGAGAGAGCAAATTAAATTACAAAAAAGGATCCTAAAGAGAACATCCTCCAAATCAGTTGATTATTAAGGGGATTTGTTGATAATTCATTTGGAATTTTTCTGGAGGGAACAGTCTGACAAAGTAGAAAAGAGATGGAGATGGAGGCAGAAATAGCAATTTATATAGGAACTGGAGTCTAGGGTGGGGCATGGTGGGAAAGTTGTGTCCTATGTATCCTGTTGTGATAGATATGATTGGAAGGAAGTGGTAATCAAATTTAGACTTCAGATTATAATATATAAAATCTAAGAGGTTATTTTATTGTTAGGAGTAGTTTTAAAGGAACATAACTTAAGATGCAAGGAAAATTATTGAGGGGATATACAGAAAAATGTACAGAAATAGAAGGGACTACTTGTTATAACTGTTAAACTTTGTTTAAATATCTCTTGTTTTTTCACTACCTGCAAGATAATTTTCACATTCCTCAGCAAGGTAACCAAGATCCTTATAAGTTCTTGTCTTTCCTTTCCATAGTAATATTTAGCTCCCATTTCTTTGTGTTCCTTCTTTCTGTCACAGAAATGTATGATTGTCTGGGTAAGTTTGACACACTAGCTGTTTTTCTTCCAGAACTGCCTTAGCCTCTCAGGTGTTTTGGCTGCATACATTGTCAGATTTGATGATAATGCCTAAACATTAACTTCTTTATGAAGTCTTTCCCCCAAGGGATGCTGTTAACACCTGACATTCCCAATATATCTTCGTATATCTTCCTAAAATATACTTAGTGGCATTTTATTATTTTCCCAAAGTAACCGGATTTAACATTTTATTATTTGTGTCACTTAATATTTTATTTAATGTTATTCATACCATCGATTATTTTCCCAATATGTTTTGAATTCTTTAGACTGCAATTGTATATCATTTATTTTAAGAGTCTCCAGTTCAAAGACATTATATGGCACATAGTGGATGATTACTCTTTGAAGGAGTAGAATGAACAGATCAGTAATTGGAGGACTAATGTGCAATTGAGTAGCAAAGAATAAAACAATTTTTACCTACATATGGTTTAGAATTGTTTTCCTTTTTCTCTCCAGCTTTACTGAAGTACAATTGATAGATTAAA